AAAGACAAGACCCTCGCCCCCATCCCCTTTTAAAATACTGCAGCACTTTTAGATGGATATTATAGAATGGAATAGACAATTGGACTTCAAGAACTATGAAGAAATTGACTTGTTTAATTAACCAGGAACCATTTTTGTTTCTTAGTTTTTATTTAGTTCGTGTCTTAATGGACCTGCTTATCGGCTTTAATTCTATTGATTCTACCTGAATGCCTGATATAAAACGTACGTTTGGTGAAAATTTTGTTCCCATCTTAAAATTGATAAATTTTGAATGCTTAATAGAAACTTGATGATTTTTGAAGTAAAGACAAGTAAGACAAGTAAGTTCATAAATGTATTAATTTATATAATTTATAATTTATTACTAAGATAAAGATCTAATTACGCGGGGTTTAAATGTACCATTTTAAAACATTTAAGACAATAAAAGTATTGTAACACTTTTTACTAAAAAAAACGTGCTAATGAAATATAGCATGAACAATTCTTTAAAATACTTCTTTCATTAAAGTAATATAACATTTATCGTCACAAAAGAAATTATAATTAAAAGTTTTAATGTTTCTTTAAAATGATTTTACAGTAAAAAAATATAATTCATTAAATACAATTGATCCAGAACTTTTCCTTTGTTTTGTTTTCTATGAATCTCAAGTTTCGTAGAAACCTTTTAGTTTTCTTTGAGTTTTTGTGTAAAACCTTAATAGAATAAATATCCTTTAACGCGGGGAGACCAGAAAACAAAGAGAAAGAAAGCAAATCTTATTATATGGAATGGAACAAACATCTTTATTTTTAATCCTGTTTCTTTTTGTAATTATTGAAACACTTCTTTGTGTTGTATTTTGATTTAATACAGTGAAACCCTTAATAACGAATACATCGAAAGAATTCATCAAATGTCGTATTCTTCACTTTTTGATAATGGAATGTTGCAGATATTTAGTTTTTTAATTAAATGATTATATGGAACTCTTTAAAACTGTTCCCGCATATTCATGGATATTTATTTATTTTCGCAAATACTAAAATTTACGTAATATAGTATAAAACTCATTGAAAAATTGTCAAGACGACATTTGATAAATTCTTCCGATGTATTCGTTATTAAGGGTTTTACTCTAAATAAAATCTATGTTAAAGATATCACAAAAGATTTCATTGGAAAATATTTAAATTTTATGATTTGAAGGAAAATATCTGGGATAGGGATTTGAAAAGTGATACTTAAAAAAATTTTAAAAACCTTCAAAACTGAAACTGGAAATTTTGTCTTGTCAATCTTCTTTGAAATTAATAATCTGGTTTAAAAGGACTAAAAGCCTAATATCAAGTGACCCGATCCATGATGTCGACATGTCTAATTCACAACGGTATCTTTAACAGCATTGTCTGATCAAGTTTGAATTGGAAATTCATGTTTTTGCGTTTGAAAACTGTATATTTTGATTTGTGGTTTCTCTTCAAAAGTTTCTTGTGCCTTTCTTGCTTATAAGAAAGACTGGAGAATTGACCAGAATGAAACACTTTTCTGCAGTTTTCACTGAGCAATTCGAGTTAAAGTATTACAGATGAGCGCTATATTTTACGAAAATTCGAATTTTTTTTTGTCGTAAAAAATACTAAATGGATTAGATTTCTGGTTTCAAAAGAAAAAGGTGTAAAGTTAGATAATTGTTGTGTAAAAAATGGAATTACGCTGACAATCACTTTTACTAGGTTCAACCCTAAACCGCAGATTGTAAAAAAAAGTTAGGAGTTATAAAAGTTGTCATCTGCAATATTGAGTTTTTGTTTTTGCTTTGTTGCTCAAACATGACAAGACAGAATTGAATGAAATGACCCGATTAAAAGGATAGTTTTTATTTGATAAGATCGAAAACAGTTTACTGCATGGATTCAGAAAATCTACGAAACTTATTTATTGAATTTTATGATGCAGGGCGACAACAGGTATTAAAGATTAAAAAAAAACATTCAAAAAAAGACTTATGTTTAATAAAACTAGCTAACTTCATATTGGTGTAAATTAAAATAATCAATGGTCCATTACTTTTTCTTTTATTAAACACACAAAAAACGAAAAGGAATTGAGTCTGTGCCACTAACTCTGATTTTCTAATCACTATACCTTTAAACAAATGTTACAGACCTTAAAAATTTCTAACTATGAATTCTGTTAGATCAAATAATCTGAGTTTGAAATATCAAAGGTTTACAACATCGGGTTCTACAGATATTGAGGTTTAAATATATGATTTTGTTCCAAAGACTCAAATCCTTTGCTACTTTTTTGTATCATTAAGAACGTAATTTGCAACTTATATCAAGTAAAATTTTTTAACTAATCATGGGACAAAAATACAATTTTAACCCTTTCTTATAAGTAAAGAAATATAAGTTTTCAACTGAAACCCTACATGTTTTTTATTAATCCTGACATATATATGACAAGGAAATTGAGAGAGTACAAATGATGTAAGAATTTAGTATTGACAAATGCAAGTGGGTTTTTTTTGATTAAAAGAGAATAATGAAGTAATTTCAAATCACCCTTTAAACAGTAAAAAAAAAATATGATATCATTGTTTTTTTTTTCACCAGGGTCGTTTTCTGACAACTTACTAAGTACGTAACTCTGGATGGAAACGACCCTGGTACCTTAGGAACACATATTTCCTTCTTTAGTAGGAATGATAAATGTTTTAAAGCAGTGTACGTACATGCATCAGAACAGAAATATAACACACAACTTTGGGCTCAACTGCTTTTGAGAGATAGAAATCACTAAAAGACTAAGCTAAACTGCCTTTTTAAATCAGAAATCATTTTGAGGCATTTGACTTTTGGGACACGGAATTACTTTCCAAAAGGCATTTTCCCAAGGGTGACTTCTTGAATGACAATTTCCCAAGTGGCAACTTCCCAAGTGTGCAATTTCCCAAGCGGTAACTCCCCAAATGTTAGGTTAGGCCCTTTGAGGCACCGCAGGCTGCAATGGGGGCCTAGCGCTGCGCCTAGGATGGGCTACGGGGCATAGCGCCACACCTAGAACAGACTGGGGGCCGAGCACTGCGGCTAGGAAAGATTTGGGAAGTTGCGGCGTGGGAAATTGCACATTTGGGAAGTTTCCACTTGGAAAAATACCCTTGGGAAGTTGCCACTTGGGAAAAATCCTTTGGGAAAGTACCTAACATCGATAGATACACTTTTAGTGGTTAATCAGCATAATCTTCGGAACTTTTTAAAGTTCAACTTTCATGCAAAAAAGTGGCCGTACGGTATGTATTTATATAAACATTTTCGACTGAGGGATTCTGTTGGCTAGATAAGCAATGAAAAATGGGATGAGCAATGGTGAGAATGGAGGAGTACTTAAAGGATGGAATTAAGAATGTACGTGAAAAGAAGATGAATATTATTTCGGAACCAGTGAAACAAATTGAAGAATTGGGATACTTTTAAACAAAAGCACTCGACCCTGCTTATCAATTCATATTTCTACCATTTCAATTCAATATTTTAAAATTATATTTAAAATTTTAACTAATTCTAATATTTTGCATCACAACTTTGGCTGTGTTATTAAGATTTTAGGGGAATATTTGAATAAAAATAGAGGGGGTATAATAATTTAACTATAAATTTTATTTTTTTTCAACCGAAAAATGCGGGGAAACTGTTTCGTGATTCGCGCTAGTGAGTTAGAAACTGTCTTCCGATGTCATAAACATCTAATTAATCTAAAATAAGGTTTAATTAAATTCACAACTCTTTGATTTACAACTAATTTTTGTGTACACTAATTATTCACACATTTTTATAACGATAAAGTTTACGCTAAATGTACATTGTGCGAAAGACTACAATCTAGGTGATTTAAACGGTTTAAAGAAACACAAAAATCCAAAATATTTTATGACAAAAAATCAACATTAAAACTTTTAAACACATTGTCTATAATTTCTCTATACATTTAGATGATAAAATCAACACCATTCAGTGAACACAGACATTTAGATTGTTAAGCCTAAATTTAATATTTGTGTCAATTCATGCATTATAGTGCTGTTCTACTCTAGGTTTTAACAGATAAAGGAACTCATTGATGTTCGCTTGCTGCAGGGTCCAATGCGTCAATCTTTGTCAATAAAATTTTTTTTAAGATGTGAGAATTTTATCAGATTGTTTCGGACAAAAAATGGGTTTCACCCTGCAACAAACGGGAAGCTCAGCAGCTTTCACAAAAAACCAGCACAGCTGAAACAAGTTTTACACAGCTTTTAACAACTAAACACTGTAAAACAGCTTTTAACAGCTTTAACACTTTAAACAGCTTTAAACAGTTTCAAAAAGCTTTTAATTGTTGAAAATGCTGATATTAGCTTGAAATTAGTTTCAAACTGCTTTCTGATCAGATTTCATTAAACAGCTTGATTTTGCTTTAAAACCGTTCAACAGGCTTGGACAGCTGTAAATACAATTTTAAATAGCTTTGAAGAGCAATAAAGCCAATTTTAACAACTTCCAATACAAACGGTTCTGCTGGTTAGCTAACAGGTCAGTTGTTAAGCTATCTAATCAGCTGTTTAGCTAACGTATCAGCTGCTTAGCCAACTGATTAGCTGATTAGCTAACTGATCAGCTCTCCAAGGATCTGATAAGCTGTTCAGTGAATTTATAAGATTTTTAGGTAACAAATCAGCTGCTCAGCTAACTTATAAGCTGCTTAGCTGACTTGATCAGCTACTCTCTAACTGAGCAGCTGTTTGATTAACTAATCAGCAGTTATTTAACTGATCAGCTGTTTATCTAACTGATCAACTGGTTAGCTAACTGATAAACTGCTTAACTAACTTGATCAGCTGTTTATCCAACTGCAGCTGTTTATCTATAACTGATCAGCTGTGTATTTACAAGATCAGCTGTTTATCTAACTGGTCATCTGTTTAGCTGGCTGGTCAGCTGTTAGCTGCTATAAAGCTTGTATTTATCACCTTGAGAACCTGGGGTCTGATGATTGCTACCTGTATATCCTGAAGTAGAAGGAGATCATGTGTGCAAGCAAGCAAAGTTTAAGAGTTAATATCATAAGAATTGATTGATTGATTGAAAGTAAGATTATATTCCGGAATATGTTTATAGAGATATAGAGAGTAATTGAATAATAGGCAGATGAGAAAAATGATTCTATTGTTCAGTTTTTGTGGAAATGAGCATTTTTTTACATTCCCGAAAAAAAGTTTTTTTTCGTAGATTTAATTTTTCAATCACTTTTTTCGATTTTTCTATTTTCTTTTTCTTCTTTATAATGAACTCTTTTATTGAACAAAAGAGAACCTTTTACTCATCAGATTTTACAGGAGCAAAAAATTCGGGATATATATTTGTAAATTAATAAGATTAAAAAAAATCTCCGAAACATTTCTGCAGCTGTAATATCAGAAGATTTCTCATAGAGAATTTGTTTAAGAAAGTACTGCCAAGGAATATCTTTATTTGAAATCTGCAATAGAATATCTTAAAACTTTTGAAATATTTAAATTTCTTCCAACAAGGGAAGAATAAATTCATTTTTCAGCATTTCAACCCCCCCACACCCACCACACTTAGTTTTGAAAACACAACATTTTGTTTTATTAAACTTCATTTTTCTTGGCAGTTCTTTAAATTTTGTTCAATCAGTAAAATTATAAATCAGGAAGAGAGATAAAAATATGAGGAAGGGGTCTGCTGTGACGTAAAGCTGAATTAAATCATTAGTTTTAACTTGCATTTCTTTTTTGCAAACACCTTTCTCTGTTTAATGTACAAGACCTAAACTAGATTATATTGAGCGAGGGGGGAAAGGCAATCTGTATTTCAGCCACAGCCGAGCCTTTTTTCCCCTCGAACCACCTCTTTTGATATGTTTTTCTTTTTCTTTTTCAAACTTCCAAATCATAAAGATTGGGAAATTTAAACTTTTTTAACATTAAAATAATGAAAGGTAAAGATAAGACAATTAATTTGTTTTTGAATTCATATGATGGCCCTGTAAGCATTTGAAAGTGGCTCGGAAGAAAGGCTCGGATGCGGAATTATTTTGATTTGCATTCCCTCCCTCATTAAGCCGAGGATCTAAGTAGAAACCTAGCTCTAGGGTTTAGTTTCAGGCCTTTAAGAAATATAGTAAGAGGTCCATTCAACTTTGATAGAGGTAGATGGTTGACATGACAACAGAATGGCGGTTGACGAGAATTCAAAAATAGATATCCTTGATTAACAACGATACCCTTCGAACCTTTATCTGATCAATACCGTGGAGGATAATGTTTTCTTTCCAAGTTTGAAAGTGTTTAATTCTGGTAATTCTCACATTTGTTTTCCTGCAGCGGAAAAGCAAGTCACTTTTGTAGAGAATTCACATTTGTAAATAATAAGTTTCCATAATCGTAAACATATTGATATCTAATTCATACTTGATCAGACAAAGCTTTAAGGGTACCTTGTGAATCGGACATTGTCATATTTGCAAAATCCATTTCGCTTTACAAAAAGTTGTGCCATTATTTTCTAAAAAATAATTCTGCCATTGTTGTCTACATCTAAATCTTCCAATTTCAAGGTTGAAAAATAAAGAAATATATTTGATAAATGCAATCGTCTTCTGCATACGTAATTACGTAATTATTTGTCTTGTAATAAATTATATTTTTTAACAATACAGAAGTTGAAATCAATTCTAAATATTTCATCTTTGAAATATTTGTCGGGGTAGGAAGGCATGACAGTATATAATTAGTTAACTATAGTTGGGTAGAGAGAAGGAATACATACCTAAAAAATAAATGAATAATTAATTGCTAGAAGTAAAATTATTAAAAAATATTATTATAGTGTTTCTTTAAATTTTCTTTTTGTTTTCTGATTTCTTAAAATAAAATCTACGCACATGTAAAGACCCCCAAAAAGGAAACTCGTTTCCTGTTAATCTCTTAAATTTCCTGCTCTGAGCCCAAAACTTAAGATAGGGTATCGTTCTGAAAGCCGGTTTTGAAACCCGGGTTTAACGAATGGGGTCAGGCAGTTTTGTGAAGATCAATATTTTTGTTTTGAAATATTATTTAATTTAGTTTGTTTATAATCTTAATTTTTTTCGAATAGCTTAAATCAAAATCTACACAAATGTTAAGACCCCAAAAAGGAAACTTTGGAATATCGTATAGTATTGTATACCCTGTCTTAAGTTTTTGGCTCAAGGCATGCAAGAATATATATATGTACAGAGTGTGCTCTATTACCGGATTACCCATAAAGAATGAGACTTCAAAGACGATTGTACGGAATTTGTTTATTCCGTTTTTTTGCATTCAGGGTTCAGGAATCAGGCCAAAATTGGCATGATTCTGTGCCTCATCATTTGGTAAACCATGAAAATACTCAATTTAATACAGAAAAAAAATTTATCTTCAAATTGTCATATATTTAGAGTTTTTGGTCGTCTTTACAGTCTTTGTGCATATCCTTGAATATGAATATGATTTTTTATATTTCCCAAGCAATTTTTATTTTTATGTTAAAACCTTACTGGTATACATTTATTAGAATTAATAACAATTTATAATTCATGTCTATGTATTTAATAAGTACGTATGCTATATTGGTTTCTATAAATGTCATGTTAACTGTAGATCATGATATATCTACGATTTTTGAAATTTCTTTTTTAATTTAGGATAGTTTTTGTAAATAAATAGATATCTACAAATAAACAGAGGACTTAAATGGCGACTTATTGCTTACTTCAACTGGCAATCATAATCACGAGCAGTCGTAGTACATCTGAATTTCCGAGCCGGGTCAACCTTTCCGGTCCCAGTTTGTACTGTACTGGACAGAACTAGCCGGTAAAACAAGTTTGACGCGGTCAGACTTTATACTTCATATATGTTGAATTTACTTTTAATGAAGGGGCAGAGGTGCGTGTATTTTTAAAACGGAAAACCCCCCGGTTCCAAGATTTTAAAAATGTGGTATGCCATTTTCAAACCTTTAAAATCGACGGAGATATTGAGAAGAAAACTTCAGAAAAATTTATATTTTTAATCCTTATATCTTTGAAAAACTAATGGAATATACTTTATAGTGCAAGTAGTCATAGTTTAAAAATAAAAATAGTTTCTTTAACACTAAAAAGATCTGACAACGATATTTTTTTTAAGTCCTAGAAAAATATCTGTAATATCATGTCACATCTCAATGAATATGTTATGAATATGCACATCAGTACCCTGTACCTTTACTCTAAGGCCTTTTTCTAGGGTCCGCCAGGGTGTACATAGAATTAGACCCCCAGCCTTTATAGGGTTAATAAAATAAAAATAATGAATAAAAATAAAAATAATAAATTATAAAGCTCTTTAGCCGAAAAAAAAACTTTTTTAAGACTAATTTTGTTAATATTATTAGAACTCGAAAAACAAAGAATTTTAAAGTCGCATGTTCATTGGGACAACTTGTAGTAGAGAGGATTTAATATTGGGACACCCTGTACTAAAGAGGATTAAATATTGGGACACCCTCTGTACCTAAGAGGATTTTATATTAGGACGCCCTCTAGCAGAGAGGATTTGTAAAAGATTGATTAAAAAATAGAAAATGTTTGTCAAGAGAAGGGGTGGGGCTGTGGGTTGAATGTAAATTGAAAATTGGATTTTCTTAAACCTGGAAGGAAATACATTTGTCATATGTAAAGGATAAAAATCAAAATAGTTCACATTTTAAAGTTCCTGTAATTTCGTTTAGAGAAATTTCGTTAAAGATATTTTCGTTTAAATGTGTTCAATTCAGATAATTCATGCGTGTTTTCCTGCAGTAGAAATACGCTTTTGTAGAGAAATGAAATTCCACAGTTGTAAATAATCAGTGTCCGAATTTAATGAATTTAAGCCGTGTCTTAAATCCGCCAAAAACCGGCTTTAATTAAGCACCGGCTTAAATCTTGAAACTTTGAATTGAATCTTAAGTGAAACCAACTATATATGAGCTGTGGCTTAAATTTGAGCCGCCGCTCAAATTCTTTAAATTCGGTCTCAGTTTTCAAAACAGTAATATCTAATTAATACTTGACCAAGCAAAGCTTTTAAGGGTTCCATTGTGAATCTGGTTTTGCCAATTTGGAATGGAGGGTTACTTGAAATTGCGCTTTAAGTCCCTTCGATTTTTTTGCTTTTACACTGATTCATAGATTAGGATTTTCTTTAAAAACTTGATGTAGATATCGAGAAACAAAAGAAAAAAATTTTTAACTTCTTGGTTTAAACTGCTAATAAAAAAACTTGGCCATATTTAACCTTCTTCATATTAATCTTTGTTTATCAGCAATATTTATAGATTTGGTAGATTTTTAAGTAAATCTGTTTAAATCAACATTTCACGTCAAAATAAAGTAAATCTAAATGTGAGGCAAATCGGTCAAAGGGTTCATGAGTTATGATCGGACAAACAAACAAACAGTCCTTACAAATGTATTTACAATATTACGTCAAAAATGTTAGGATATCTTTTTCTTCGCGAGAACAAACAAATATTTATATTTTATTTTCCCCATGGAACTTGGTTGATTTTTACATTTCCGGTTTACAATTCTTTTTCCGGTTTACAATTCTCTTTTTGGCAGAATAACTGGTTCTCGGAGTTCAATGCTAAGCTTTTCTAGAAATCCCCGAAACAATAAACAATCATGGTTTGTGTTCAAATAAGAAAGAAAATAAAGTCTTCGGGAGGGGGGTGTTCACGGTTTTCAACAAATGTGGGGGAAAGGCTTTTTTGCTTTGTTTAAGGTCATATGTTTCAAAGGGTTTCGTAAATCCGTTTATTCTAAATATATCCATCGTTGTCTTTTAACACTTTTTAGTAAAAAAAAAATAATAAACAATTATGATATTAGGAAATTGTTTTTAGCTTAACCCCCCCTCCCCCGGCCACTCATGAGTGTCTACAAAAAAAATCAGCCCATTCGTTCCAGCCAATTGGCCGGCTATTGGTGACATATATACGAATGTTTTGTTTTATTATAAAAATAACAAACAAAAAAATAGAAAATTAGATGTTTAAGGAGAAAATATTTTAAAACCTCAAAAATAGAGGTTCTGGGAATATTTCCGCAATTCTAAAAAAAGAAAAAAGGAAAGCAAAAGGAAAGTTAATTATTTATTGTCTACATTTTTAATATAACTATACATATCAGATAATTACGATCAGCTCAGGCGTTGCAATTATCAAAATAATATGTATCATAGATTTATAACAATACCTATCTATCTCTGTCTCGTAATTTAACGCTGCCTACGCGGAACTTCTTTGGGCTTCTGCTTCATGGTTATTGTTATTGAAAACCCCTTAAATCTTGAAAAAAACGACTTCTAGTGTTCTATCTCTATATTGTTACTAATCTATGGCTGTTATATTCTTGAAATTGTAAATATGTCTATTGTAAACTTTTAATATAAATGTGAGTTAAAGCACATAATATTAATTAAATTACAAATATTTACAAAATTATCATTTAATTGAAAATTTTGAGATATTAACTTTTTAATTATCTGCGAAATATGGTATTAAATATTAAAAATAGTTGAACCAGTCATGTCTAGATAAACACAGGTTTTTGAGCTTTTTAGATTTTAAATGTGTTGATCGGTGCCAAACAAACAAACAAACATATGCAGATTAATCATAACACTTGTTACGTTATAGTAAACCTAAAACAGTTTTATTTGTTTTATCCATTATGCGCCATTCTTTAAAACATCTGATTTTTTCTAAACTATAAGAAAACAGTTTTCCCCCAAAATTGTTAAATTAATTTGATTTTCTAAAATTATTAAAACCCTGGATACGTTTTCAGATGTTGCATAAGGGTAGTCTGAGATATTGAGAGTGGGAGGGAGGGTGGAGAAGTAAGTTAGAGCTATCACATTTTTCAAGTCTTTAAGCTGAAGAGTGAAGAACATAGAAAAAATCAGTTTACTCTTTGAAGGAGAGATAAAGTATAGTATTTGGAAGGTAATCGGGCTGTATGTGTGCATCTAAAGTATCATATGCTTAAGCTTGATATCCAAATTTGCCCCCCCCCCTATGATCTATAAGGGGGGGGGGGCAAAACAAAGTTTTGCTCTTCGAGCATATTTTGCCCCTCCCCCCTCTAAATTTATTTCTGCATACGCCCTTGTAACGCTTTAAAAGTTTTCCGACTTATAAATTATATTTTTCTGTCCAAAATATTTCTTTTAAATTGAAATCGACATTTTAAGAATCATGTACTTGGGTCGGGGTCGATCATGTACTTGTGTCGGGGTCGATCATGAACTTGTGTCGGGGTCGATCATGTACTTGGGTCGGGGTCGATTTTGTTGAGATCAGAATTAATTAATTATTAATCTAATTAATGACAATATGCTTGGTTTTAAGAATTGAATTTTGTTCATAAAAGTCCCTTATTTAAGGGAAAGATTTATCGGTCTAACTCTTTCAAATCTGTTTTTTAAAAGCAGGTTCAAGCTAAATTTATTGTATGAATGTCGAGTTAGATTCGTGTGATGTGGCTCACCCCCTGTACTTTTCATGATTTCATTATGTTTTCCACTGTACTATACAGAACATACAATAATTGAAGTTCTACATTAAAGATATTTATTACATTATATGTTACAAAGTAAATATAAATCTTTTAATATAAACATTTTCTCATATCCTGTCTACAAAAGATTAATCAACATCAGTAATTAAAAACATCAAAAATCTTTAGATCGTGTCCGAAACAGTTGTGCGATTATATTGGGCCTAAATAATATAATAAAAAGAATAATAAAATATTCAATATATTTTATTATTATTATTTCGAGAAATTTAGTTTTTTTAAGATTATGATTGTTTCCGATTACATAAGTTTGATTATTGTAAAATATGGGTTTACTCCAGGTACCTGGATGAATACAGAGAGCAAGTATGGTTAGTACCCCGAGAAGGAGGGTGATATTCCTCCCCTCCCCCGCCATAACTAGGCTGGTCAACTTACTACTACTCAGCCATGATATCACTCAGCTGGTCCAGCTAGTTACACCAGTATACACCATCTCACCAACCCGGATAAACTTGTACTCGGTTCTCCTGCTCAGCGGCTGGTGCCTGTCACCCTCCAGGTTGTAAACCAGCTCCTCATTGGTTCTCCCGGCCTCAGCCCAGCCTCGCCCAACCAATCAGAGGCCGGGTTGTATTCTGATGGTATCGATTCCAGCCTAGTGTGGATCAGTGGAGAGGCTGAGGAGGATGCTTTCACCCAGACTGTAGATATCCTCTACACCCGGCCCTTAGCACATGTACAGCGTATCCTCTAAACCCTTAGCACATGTACAGCGTATCCTCTACACCCTTAGAACATGTACAGCGTATCCTCTACACCCTTAGCACATGTGCAGCGTATCCTCTACACCCTTAGCACATGTACAGCGTATCCTCTGCACCCTTAGCACATGTACAGCGTATCCTCTAAACCTTTAGCACATGTACAGCGTATCCTCTACACCCTTAGCACATGTACAGCGTATCATCTAAACCCTTAGCACACGTACAGCGTATCCTCTACACCCTTAGCACATGTACAGCGTATCCTCTGCACCCTTAGCAGATGTACAGCGTAACCTCTACAACCTTAGCACATGTACAGTGCATCCTCTACACCCATAGCATATGTGCGGCGTAACCTCTAAACCCTTAGCATATGTGCGGCGTTACCTCTAAACCCCTATCATATGTGCGGCGTTGCCTCTAAACCCTTAGCATATATGCGGTGTAGCCTCTGAACCCTTAGCATATGTGAGGCGTAACCTCTAAACCCTTAGCATATGTTCGGCGTTACCTCTAAACCCTTAGCATATGTGCAGCGTAACCTCTAAACCCTTAGCATATGTGCGGCGTAACCTCTAAACCCTTATCATATGTGTGGCGTAACCTCTAAACCCTTAGCATATGTGCGGCGTAACCTCTAAACCCTTAGCAGATATGTAGCATATCCTCTACACCCTCAGCCTAGCGTATCTTCTACTCCCTTATTACAAGTACAGCGCTAGCCTCAACTCCCTTAGCACATGTGCAGCGTATACTCCCTAAGTAGATGAGTGTTTCGTATTCTTTACATTCATTGCATATGTGCACTGAGCAGCATATACATTGTATATGTACATTGTACATGCTTATGCTCTACAGTTGGTATCTTTATATCCGTGTTTTAGCAAAGAACCCAAAAAAACACAGAAAAGTTTCACAAATATGTGAATTCTGTAAGGTTGCTCTTTTATCACATTTTGCTAAATCTTGGCCCACTTTTGCAGAGAATGTATATTGTAAAGCCAAGGTGTTGAGACACTTCAAAGTTGATCCAGTATTGAAAATTGATTAATCTTTTCATTGTAGTTTAGTCTGTCCCCTCTGTTGTCCATGTCAATGATGTTTATTTGTACTATTAAGCTAACATCAACACTTGAGAAATACTTAGCGGTTGAGTAGTTCTCATATACTAGAGGGAGCCTTTATTCAGCATTTATGCACTACACTTTTTGCTTTTAAAGGGAGTGTTCGCGAAAAATTAAATGGGGTTATAGGCTTACGGCGAAAAATAAGCGCTTTTTATTCGAAACAGGAATACAAGTAGTTTTACATGACCCTCAAGTGCTTTGAATGATCAAGATGACTGAGATATCTATTATTTATGTATTTACACTTCAAATATTAATTATTTTTAATTTTTCTTGTCTCTCTATGTATAAGCGACTTGCGTAGTTTTGCTCCCCCCCCCCCTCTAAATCACATGTTTGATGTTTAAATATGACAAATGATGCATCATTGGGAAGCTCTAGTGCTTTACTTTTAGAAACTGCAAGTAAAAATTGCAAATTTGCAAAAATTGATTTTTTGCTGAAAAGTCTAGTAAAAAAAATTATTAAAAAACGGCCTTGACCATGCCATTCTAAATATGCAAAACTTTTTGCAAATCTTTGAATAACCTGATTAAGAAAACTAAAAATGTGCAAATTTCTTTTGACGGGTTGTATGCAAAATTAGCAAAATTTCTTTGCAAAACTTGTCCAATCCGCTTCATTATATGATATTTTTAATTTAACAATATTCCATTGCTCTTCCTGTTTTTTTTAATTCATTTATTCGAAACAGATATCTTTTGATACCATTGATAAAAACCAATTAAAGCATGGTTGGAAGTTTAAAACATTTTCTAATGTTCTAAATGGTAAAATTGAAGTGATGCTTGACGTGCTGCAAAGTTGGCCGATAACAAAATATAATGTATAATATTTGTACTTTGTAGGTATAGAAAGATAAACAGACCGATAGATAGATTTAAATATTCGTATATAAACATAAGTTAAAATGTTTCTATGTTGGAGAAACGCAGGCCCGTAACCAGGGGGGGGGGGTGCAAGGGGTAAGGTGCACCCCCCTTTCTCCTAAAAGGGGGGTGCATGTGACTAACTTTTTTAGATAAGTTGCTTAGTATAATTTTCTCATGAAAAATTGATATATTAACATTCAAAGTTTTACAAAGGAATTGAGTCTTTGAAACAAACTTAAAATTTCTAATCCCTATATTTTTTAAATCTGATGGTGTAAACATTTGCCATTTCAAACTCAGATTATTTGACTGAACAGAATTCATAGTGTGAAATATCTAAGGTTGTAAATATATAGGTATTAGAACATCTGAGTTTGTGGCAAAGACTCAATTCCTTTGTAATAATTCTGTATATATTGTATTATGTATATATTGTATTGTATATATTGTATTGTGTATATATTGTATTGTGTATATATTGTATTGTATATATTGTATTCTGTATATATTGTATTGTGTATATATTGCATTGTGTATATATTGTATTGTATATATTGTATTCTGTATATATTGTATTCTGTATATATTGTATTCTGTATATATTGTATTGTGTATATATTGTATTGTGTATATATTGTATTGTGTATATCCTATGTCTAAACAGTTCTTTACTAAATCTGTTCCCTCAGACCAACAAAATTAATCCTTCCTTGAAAAATATTTGTCCTGAGGTAAGATTTTCAGAGTAACCAAGGTTTGTTGTTCTTTCGCTTTGTCGATATACATATATGCAATGAAACACATATGTTCCAGTATGTATAAAAAAATCAATTGTTTAAATCTTGCAGAAACATTGCCTCAGTTTTAATATTTAGTCCCTATGACAATTCAAAATCAGTAAACGTGAGTAGTAATATCAAAATTATCAAAATTTCATGTCTTTCAATATTATAAAATTTGAGCTAAAAAGTATAACAACTATATTATGAAAATTTCCTTGTACCAAAAAAAAAAAAATACAAATTTAGGGGAAATATTTACTATAACATTAAGTTCAAACTTAAATTACTAGTGTTGTTGACAAATTAGAAAATAAACTACATAACATTCATGCTAAAATTACTCGTTTTTATATCAAATTTGAAAAATTTCCATAAAAGGGGCCTCTGCCCCCCTGCAACCTCCCAGAACTCGTTCATTACATTTCACTCGGTGATCTTGGGCCCATACTACAACACCCCTCTTTGCACTCCCCCCCCCTTGGGAAAATCCTGGTTACGGGATTGTTCCAATTTAGAAAAAAATTTAATTTAAGAGTTACAGAGATCGATTAAAACCTATAATATGCGATATTTTCTATTGTGTACAAGTACTGTACACGACCAATCAGGAGACATCTGTATTAAGGATCATTTGAATAGGAAATGCAAAATCTTTAAAAATAGACATTATTTATAAAAGTTATGTTTAATGTTTAAAATTGGAGCATTCATAAAAGTTGTAAAACTTAACCCCTGAATGCAACAACTGGCCGTGAGATGTCAGTCAATAAACAATACATGGAACCGTAGCATGGCATGCCGGAACACCATAGGCCTGCTCAGCCTATCCAGGTAAAGTGTATGAGCAGTCTGTGGCGTAACTGTAAACAACAATTAATTTAGAAATCCAGAAAATTTTCGAATTTTCAATAATAATCACATGGTTTTACAGACTCATGCACTATAATACTCACTGTAAATGATAAATTTAATACTAAAACTAAATTAAATTTAATTCACTGTGCAATATGCATAAAGTTTATGTAGATCTTTTCTCCAAATAGAATGTTGAATCTATTCTATCTTGAGAATAATAAATTTCGATTGATATTCTTTTATTTTTAAAACTAGGGAAACATTTATAAAGACTTTCATATCAAAATCTAAAATTAATTGTCCCACAAAACATGAAAATTGAAAGAAAACATAAAATTCTTTATCTTCTATGACACGGCGTGTGTGTTGAAGGAAACGCATACATCTGTGACACTTAAAAATTAAATCCTAAACATATCAATGGATTAAAGAAAGATTTTTCCCGCTAAATCAGTCAAAATGTCATTTTTTTTTTGTAAAAGTCTAATAATCCAAAAACTATAATTTGAAAATAATTAAGGGGGGATATTTAATCTGATTCACCGGCCTTTGGTAAGTGGTCATAATTTGAAGTTTATAGAACTAAGAAACAAGAAGAAAAAAGAAAAGACGGTTTTTTTCAAAAAAAATTTGTTATTCAATGAAAACTTAGGAGTTTGATTTAACTTTCAGTTATGACAGTTTGTGATGAAATATTATTTTATTTATTTTCTTTATATTCTCCATTTTTTCGAATCTCTTAAATCAAAATCTAAACAAATGTTAAGACCTCAAAAAGGAAACTCTAGAGTTTCGTTCGCTCTCGGTATAGTTCCTGGGCCTATACAATTAGTAAAGGATTATACATTCCTATACATTTTCAAAAAATTTACTTTTTCATAGGTTTTAAGTAACAAAACCTAAGAGCTAAAATTGTGTCATATTCCAAAGACAGTTATATCTTAAGGAGCAGATCCACTTAAATGGTTTATACCAAGATTATAATGCAAGGAAAGTTAATTGCAGTTGCGTATACTCTGCGTACATATTGAAACCAGTTCTCTCTGGGCGGAATTTGTAAACAAGAATAGATGCATTAGTGTTCATTCAGTATCCGAGGAGGTTAAA